GGATTTAATTCTTATTGGTTAATGTATATGGCTTCTGATCCATCAACAAGAAATAAAGTTACAAATATATTTCAACAAGCTTCTAAATATAAAATGAATGTTGCTAGAACTTGGGCTTTTGCGGATGGTGGATCTAGACCTTTACAATCCGCACCTGGCGTTTATAACGAGCAAATGTTTCAGGTACTTTAATAGAGGTTAAAAAATTATTGTTTTGTATTTGTTTTATAGAGGAACGAATCCTTCGCTTGAAAACTGCTATCTAAATGATATTTCTCTAGTATTCGCTATCCCTTTTTAATAATTTATAATATGAGTCAAACAAATATCTTTTTTCTTTTCAATATTTTCTACATGTGTATGGCACTTTGATTTAATTATTTTGTTGTTTCCCAAGCTCTCTCTAATTCTTTTTTTAAAAAAAAAAATTAATTGATTTCATTTATGTCTCTTTTTTTATTGTTACAAATGTTAAAAACCATTTTTTGAAATTCTAACAACTTTTTATTTATGGTTTGGTCATTGCATAAAATATTTTAGGGTTTTGGACCAAAATTAAATTTTAATTAATAATTAAAAATTGAGTTTTTATCATTTGCTATATATATATATATATATATATATATATATATATATATAAAAAAAAAAGTGTAACTATAACTATTGGATCATGTTTTCCCAAGTTTGGTTATAATTATATTCTTGTCATCTCATTTTATTGTAAAAAATCAAATTTAATAAAATCCCATCTATTTAATCAGATAATATTAACTCTTTCTTAATTGTGATTTATTCATTTGGTTTATTTAGTCAAACTAAAGTATTCAAATCAATTTATTAATTTTATTATCATCACATTTATTTCCTTTATGACTTTCAATAAAATAATTCACTATGCACTTTTCAAGCTTTTATTTATTTATTTATTTTATTTAGGGATTGGATTTTGTGATATCAGAAGCAAAGAATTATGGAATTCACTTAATTCTTTCATTAGTTGATAATTTTGAAGCTTTTGGAGGAAAAAAACAATATGTAGAATGGGCAGTGCAAAAAGGCCAAAAATTAACAAGTGATGATGATTTCTTCACTAATCCTATGGTCAAAAAATTCTACAAAAATTATATCAAGGTAAATAAATTAATAATAAGATTCTTTACTTATATATTTTGTGCAATTATTACATTTTACTCCTAATATTTTTATTTTACGTGGAGCTGTCAGCAGAACTGATTTCTATAGATCAGTTATTGATTCACGTGAACTCAATAATTTAATTCAGCACACGTATAATATGTTTGACTATGAACTCATTTATTATTATAGTATTTATATTGTTTTGTTTTTTTAAATTTTTTTTTTATTTTTTTTTATATAGGATATGCTTACAAGAGTTAATAAAATAACCAAAGTGGCATATAAAGATGATCCAACAATTCTTTCATGGGAATTAATAAATGAGCCTAGATGCCCATCTGATCTATCTGGTAAAACAATACAGGTAATATTATATTTAATCGATCGATCAAAAATAATTATATTTTTATTTTTTTAAATAATTTTTTTAAAAAATAACTTTTATCGTACCTAACAAATTTGAAAAAAAAATATATAAATTGCATTATGCCACAAGAGATCAATAGGTGTGAATATACATATAAGATATAATGTGTATTGATTAATTACGATTTGATAGAAATATATAATGTATTTATTGAATCGGTATATATATGTGTGTGAATATATAGTATAATATACCTTTTAAGATTTCACTATATATTTTTATATGAAATAATTATTTTTTTGTTGGACGTATATTTTGCAGAACTGGATTAGAGAAATGGCGGGACATTTGAAATCAATAGATACAAATCATCTCTTGGAGATTGGACTTGAAGGATTTTATGGGAATGACAAGAAACAATATAACCCTAATTATATCAATTATGGGACTGATTTTATCTCCAACAATCAAATTAGAGAAATTGATTTTACCACAATTCATATTTACCCTGATCAATGGTATATAATTTCTAATCCCCTCTTCATTTTATATACAATATTGCACCCTCTCATTATCATTTTGTGATTTTTTTTACCACTAGTATTCGATACGAAGAAAAATATTTTCCGAGAGATATTCGGTTGATATCAGTAGAGACTACGTGAAAGATTATTTTGATTCAACATCTGATATCATTTTTATATTTCATCTCTTTAACAAATTTAGTAGCGAGCATAACGACCCTCTTGTTTCAATGGAGAAAAGAACCTACGATTAGGGCTTTTTCAGAAAATTTATACTTTCAACGAAATCTTTGAATTTCTTATTTTTACTATATATGTTTTTCTATCCGTATAGTACATTAATTGTTAAAAAAAGGCTAAAAATAGTGCCTCTCTTAGTCGTAAATATTGACACAGCATAACGACCGTATTGTCTCAATAGATAGAAAAACCTATGATTTAGGTTACGAAATCTTTGAATTTGTTATTTACTATGTTCACTTTATGCGTTCCTTTATTCGTACAGTACATTGAGTAGTTTTTCTTAGTCGTAAATGTTGAGGCATAACAACCCTATTGTCCCAATGGAGAGAGAAGAACCGATGATTTAGCTTACGAAATCTTTGAATTTTCTTAATTTACTACGTTCAACTCTATGTGTTCCTCTATTCGTAGAATGTACATAAATTGCTATAACAGAGTTTCTCTTAGTCGTAAATGTTGAGGCATAGTACACGATGCACTAACGTTTGTACCCTTAATTGGGCCTTTTGGACTTACAGGTTACCAGGTTCAACTCCAGAGGCCCAAGACAATTGGGCTTCACAATGGATCCAAGCCCATATAGATGACTCCAAATTGTTGAAAAAGCCCATATTAATTGGAGAATTTGGCAAATCTTCAAATACCACAGGATATAATATTAAAAAGAGAGATAATTATTTTGGAAAAATATATGGAAATATTTTTAATTGTGCTAAAAATGGAGGCCCATGTGGTGGTGGGCTTTTTTGGCAATTATTGGATCAAGGAATGGAAAATTATGGTGATGGTTATGAAGTGGTTTTACAAATAAGCCCATCAACAGATAGAGTTATACTCTTACAATCTCTTAGGCTCTCTAAATTATCATAGTAACAAAAAATATATATATATATATTACAATAATATTTTTTAATATTATTCAAAACATCAAGATTATTGTAATTTATCTAAGCTATGATTCTCTTTTATCAAACATAAAATTGATAGTATTGAAAATTTTATGGAATTGTTTGAGGTTTTGAAGATCTTTCTCTTTGTTGTATTTGACTTATTTGTTTTATGTTGCGTAGAGAATATACTCGATACGTTGATAGTAGATCTGTCAATATGGACTAGCTCACCCTATTTAGGCTAACACATATACGCTTTGATATTTTACGGGTCAGGTCAGGCTAGCCTATTTTTAGTGTGGGCCAGAAAACAATCGACCCAACCTAGAAGTAAATGGGCTACAGGCTTACCAGGCAAGCCTATTTTTTTTAAAAAATAAATTATAATTTAAAAATGTTATCATAAATATCGACAAGACAATATTACACGATGTTAATATTACTATAGAATTATCTTTATAATATTTATTAAGTTTTTTTTTTAAAGTAAAAGTATAAATATCTAAAATAGAAATATTAACTTAATTGTTTTGAGTTTGGACTCTCTTTAATTTTAAATTTTAGTATTATATTATATTTTTTAATTAATTTTTATTGGCCCATATGTCGACCATATCGATATTTCTCAAGCCCTACAAATCAATAGGCTTACTCAGTCGGTCAGGCCGGGCTAAAAAATTATTTTCTTAAATAGACTCTAAAAATCAACAAGCTTTGCGTAATATTTTTTATAAAGTTATGACTCAATGTTATACACGTGTGTAACAAAATATTAGAGTTTGAATTATTACAAATGAAATTAATTGTTTTAATTTTATTTATTTATTTCGAATATCATTAATTCTTATACAATTCAATTAATAATTCGTACTTTGTTTTTTCCATTTTGAAAATAATTTTTTATTTTTCATGTAAAATTTATTGTAATATTTTTTTAAAAAATAAATATTGTGATTTTAAAGGGGTAATAAAAAAATAAGATATAGATTGATAGCAAGAGTAGAGTAGATATAAAATTAACTAAATGACATATAAAATGAAAATGTTGATTGTTCGAGATTGAGTGAAGTTAAAAATTTTAAATAAAATTGACTTTTACCCAAAATATATGGTAAAAATGTCAAAAGCACCATTATTAATTATGATAGATAGAAATGAACATGCGCGTGAATGATTAATATCGAGAATATTTTTTAGCCAAAAGATTAATATCGAGAGTATTTGAGGGCCCAAAAATAGATGGATTATAGTTTTGTATCAATTAAAATAATCGAGAAACATTTTAGGCTAATCTGATGAACATTAGATTTTGATTTGCCCAATTTTAAATTCTCGCAAACTAGGTGAATTTTTTGCGCCATTGATATCAATAACAGGTAACCACCAAAGGATATGGTGCATGAGACGGATGGGGTTGCTTCTCCCTCAATCGAGAGGTCTCGGGTTTGAGCTTGAATATAAAAAAAACCTTGATAGGGAGCGTTTCCCAGAATGAGCCCTACGCGGCGCGAATACAAAATTATTTGATTCCATTGCAAATACCAAACATCGGGTAGAAAATAAAAATATATATATCAATAGCGTTGAGGTCTATAACTAACTCCCACCCCCATTAGGTAAGATAAGATAAAACAAGTTGACCACAACCCATCCGAACCCACAATGAAACTCCAATTAAATTCGGATCGCGCACTTAGGGCCCATTCAGGGGTGACGCTCCCAACACTCCCAAGTCCCACCAATACACCACAACCCATGTTTGATGCTTCGCGATGCATGTCAATAAAGAGAAATAGAGAAATATAGTTCCAAATTCAACAGCTGATACAACAACACTGATTAGAGAGCAAGTCAACCACTGTCCATTTCCATTAATCTGAAATATACTATAAGATGAACAATTAAGTTTAACACAAGATGACAAAGAATAGAAATTATAAAGCTAGTTAACATAATTACATCCATCTAACTATATATGATAACTGATATACCATTACAACAAATGAAACCAGCAGCATTACAGGAAGAGGTTCACATATGCTAATGTCAGAAGAAAGTTGGTGTTACTTGTTACTCTCGGGGACGGGCAAGCCAGAGAGAACTAAGGGCTCGCAGTCTAGCGAAATAATCACCGATAGCAAGAAGAGCACGAGCTGATTGGCGAGTTGTCAATATCCGATGCATTTGCTGTAGCATCCGTTGTCGTAGATTATCAGCCTGACATTTACATTTTCATAGGTCAGTTTTTTGTATGCCTGGGATAGCTTTCAACATGTACTCAAAACAAAGATAGTCAGAGCAGATACGAATATCTCCACTAGCCATCGAAACCTACCAATCTCACTTTCCAGATCCCTCTAGCTTAAATGATTTTGACTTTACATTCGCTATCCTCGTATCACAACTACGTAAGCAAGTTGAGGTCATTATATGAATCTTCACTGACCATGTTGCTCCATTTAAACTCATCTCAAACCAATATTACACAAAAAAAGAAGTACTGCATTTTCTAATGGTACCAACACGTACTCGAACGTGCAAACACATATTTGTATATATGGCATCTCATGCATACAAGTTGCCATCTAAGTTCTAACCCAACTAAACTGCTGCATTTCAGAACATAAAAGATATGGAGATGGTTCTAATGCAATGCAAGATCTTTCAGCGATAAAAAGATCTTCTTTTCTTTCTGCAAGCATGTTTGTCAACCTAACTAGCAAAGTTTTGCAAATCTCACCTCTAATCTAAACCTTTTTAACCATAATTACTAGCACCATGCCAATAATTGTACCGGTTTTTCCAATTGGTACAGCTCAGTGCAGAGTTGTCTCTAACTACCACTGTAAAATCAAGAGTGAAATTACAAAAAATAAGACAGGAAGTTATGAGACTCTGTACTAGGAAATACAATCAGAATGACACCCTAAACTCCCTCATACATCCTTTCTATCTTCGGAACATGGGCAAATATCTTCAGTAATTTCGTAGCATCCTTCTCTAGGTAAGAAAATAGCCCAGCACCTATACGAGATACAGAACTACAGTTGCTTCAACTCCATTCTTTGTTTCCTACTAATTCTCATCAGGAGAAACATTAATATCAAAACCAAGAAGGAAAAAAGGAAAAAAGAAATGATAGAATAAACGAATAAGTAGTTCAATATGTTTTTGCACTCAAGGGTGTTGCCTAGTGGGTCAAGAACCATGAGATCTCAGGTTCAATCCCAACAAAGATAATAACACTAGGTGACTTCTACCATCTGTCCTAGCCTTGGTGGATAGAGTTTCCTAGTACCTATTGCTGGTGGGAGACTGGGAAGTGGCAAGTATCCCAATCAAACATCGTTCATAATCAAACGTTATCATATAAAATGAAACAGAGAGAGTCAGCCAGTTACTAAGTTATGAAAAAACACTACTAGTTCTCTCCATCTCCTTATTCTCCTCTCAGGATTACAGCAAACTGAATGTTTTTGGTCATGAAGATGGAATAAGATAACTTTAGGTGGACAAATCAAGTCCATTAGGGATGTTGGTCGGCAGGTACCTTTAAGGTGGAATGGACAAGTGATCATTTGGTTGGGAATGAAAACTTTTCAAAGGCTTCCATATGATGCAGTAAATGAGTCTATCTGGATGGAGTTAGAATTGAATATCTCATGAGGAACTTGGAATAATATATGACTTTTCTTCTTTCACGCTTCTTAGTTTATTCATTCTCGATCTCGAGGGGCTGCCCGGGTGCCACAAAAGATGTGTAATTGACATATAAATGATAAATTTGAGGCTGTTAGAAATGCATTAGATAACCAAGTCTATTTTTTAAGTGAAAATAGTGGATACACATGATAAAACACTAAGCACCTGGAGAATGAATCCTTCAAGTGTTCCTAGCTTCCCCATTGCCATGGCCATTTGACCCATGTAATTGGCAACATTCCCAGATGACCCTGAAGGTCCAAGAGACCCTGCCAGGGTCTCAGCCAATGACTGTTGCAGTGATTCAATTCCCTGAGATAAAGCATCTTCAGCCAGTTGGGATGACTGTTGCAAGTTGTTGATTGCCAACGATTGTTGATCAGTTAAAGGCTCCAACTGATTAATGAGAAGCTGCAACAAAGAAGACAGAAATTTAAGAGTGGAAGAATGTATTAAGGTAATGAGCCAAAGGAAGTAAAACAATCTGCCTTCTGACCACCTCCAGCCCTTGAATAGAGAAAATAAAGGGAGCATCCAAAGATTTAGTCATCTAAAAGTAACAAATGGAAATTCTTCAGTAGGCACCAGAATGAGAGAGGGTAACAGTAGAGGAAGAGTTTCATCTAAAGCAAGACAGTTAGGGGAACAGAGAAATTCAAAAGCTTTTCAATGCACAAAAAAAGAAAACCATCACCGGAAGAACAAACAGAAGCTGCAAGGATATTCAATTTGGACGGCATCCTACCGAGAACTTCTGCCTAGAGAAGTATTGGGAAGTTTTTCATCAAGAAAGTGGTTGTAACTAAGGTCAGAAGTAGTCGATTGTCCTTCATGATTCATGGTGAAGGTACAAAATAGTTAAGACTTTCATATGAAGATTAAGCTAACTTACTAGGCCAAATTCTAAAAGAGATATCCTCAAAACGGTAACTCCTTTGAATTTGGACAACTACCAATCATGTCGTAAACCTTCACACCAGTTCAGATTTGTTTTATTTTGCTAATTCAAGTACGGGGATTGGGGTTTCCCAAGCCGTTGTATCACGTTTTTATAAGGATATTTCCCACCTTGAGAAGTTCCGACGAACGGAATCCACCAAGCCACAAGAAGCATCTTTCTGCAGGGGTTTTCCACATGCCTGACAATATATGAAAAACATCAGCCTTTGCAGCATCAGCCTTGATCTTGAATAATTCATCATAGTGCGCCAAGATGCCATCCACAATTATACGCAGTTCGCCATCACCAGCATGAGAACTTACAGCTCCTCTCAGCTCATTTGTACGCCGGTTGTGTTCTTCCAGCCATCGTGCATATTCTACATCAAACGCCAAAGCTCCTAAAAAATACAGATGTTAATATTACATAATTTTCCGGAATGCTAAACCCAAGCTAGCTTCTAGTAAAACTGGTTAGAGTGTCAATACATATGGAGAGATATAGATATAGATATAATGACTGAGACCCATACATAAGATCGTTCTAGCTTGTCTCCTTCTTACTAGTTAGTCATACTTTATTAACGTGCAACCTTTTGCAACTAAATTTATTTGAGAATTCAAAAGTTGAAATGCAAAAGCAGATAAGCATACCATTTCCACTCATTGCCTGTGATTGATCTCCTGAACTTGAAACATATATGCCCTTCGGATTAAGAAAAAAATTATCAAAAATGTTTATCATCTTATGAGAAACTAGCTAATAACTACACAGGTCGCCAGTTTTAGAGCGTAAGAGAAACAAATTAGACCCATAAAACAATTGCTAAACAAACCTGCTGTCGAGCTCGTTGAAGCTCCTGCTCTAGCTGTGTCAGCTTCATTCTACTACTCTCTAACTGTTGAACATATGCCTAGATCACCACAAAAGGAAAACATATGAAATACCGGCGTTATTATTGATATAAGATCTATAAGGACTAAAAAGTAAAATTGGTAACAAATACTGCTAATAGTAAATGTAGTACAATGCAACTAAAGAAACCCGGAAGAATAACAGAAGTGAAGAATTAGACATAATTATGCTGCAAAAAAACAGAAAAGGCACATACATATGCTCAATTTTGCAAGCGAACAGCAGGATGAATAAAGATGTGAAATGATGCTACATATGATACATAACAAAGTGAAAGGCAACAAAAGTAAAATATTGCAAGACCTGCAGTGCTATATGACAAGAATAAATACTTGTATAAAATGAACTGAAAAAAATACAAAAAGAAAATGGCAATAGGAGCATTAGTCCTATTCCTATATGTACAAATCCAAATCAGGCGAACTTTTACCAAGAGTAGAGCATAAATTTAAAAAGATAAAGTTAGATGGAATTGTATTGTATCTTTTTATTATTGGTGTAAAAAGATAGAAATAGATAAATTAGAACTAACAGATTTGTTAGGATCTCTGCGGAGTAGCTTCCTCCTACTCTTTTTTCTTTTCTTTTCTTTTCTTTTCTCTTCTTTTGCTTCTTTTTGAAGGCTCCAGAATATCCTTAATACTGAGGAATACAACGTCACCAATTTCAAAAAAAAAAGTATGTGACCATCTGAGAACACACTTCTATTTTCTTAATCATGTCTTCAACACACCCCTCACATGTGGGCTAGATTATTTTTCATGATCAATTGCGTGAAAATTCTTTTTGATAATGGGTGGCAGTGAGCTTCGAACTCAGGACCTTTACCATATTGAAGTATATGACCATTTCATCTAAAAGCTTAAATTGTTAGAGAGGCTTTTTTTCTTAATAATGTCTTCAACAACAAGAAAAGTTGTGCCTTTAAAGCCCGATATATCAAAAAAAAGGAGGTACAGAAATAAGAATGTTAAGACGGACGTTCAGCCATACAAATAGGGGTTAGAAGTAACAACCACATCCAACACAGGGTGCAAGGAGGAAAAAAGGATATAATGAGAAAAGGTCGCCAAAGATAATTTCACATGTTCTACATAGACCAGAAAATATCAATCCTTGAGTTTGATGATTGAAGGTAGACCTAAAATCGTATTAGGAGAAGTTGTCTCAGATAATCTAAAATCTTTCCAACTAATGCAGAGTTAAATATGAACAGACCATAATGAAAGCAAAGTGGTGACGCCCTATCTCATCATTTACATGTAAGAATTACTGGCTAGTACTATTGATCAGAAAGATGAGTATAATTATGTGGTAGTGTGATTAAGAATGTGTTTGACCATGAGGGAATGACGAAGGTATGTTAAGAGTCACATTTTGTTTTCGGTTGAAAACAAATGAGGACATAAGAAAAGGACACCCGAACACCAGTGCTAGGTTTGGTTTGAAAACGAAATGAGTTGGGCGAATTTGGGATAAGGAAATGAAACCTGAACAGAAGCTTATTGATGTTTTTACTCACGCTACAATACATACCAATGGCAGTGACAAGCAAGGGAGGCAGTCACATTGGGTTGGACTGACATGATGGAGCTTCAACAAGATTGAGTGAAAATATAACAGGACAACAAATGAATTAGGACATCATAGTGTCTCATTGGATGACTCAACGTCCATATTTCCACTTGGAAGAATCAAGGGGACCCTACGATGGGGAATCCTGAACAATTGGAGAAAGCGTGATCCAAAAATATAGTGTGAGTTGCAGAAGGGCCATGCCGATTGTAAAACTTAAGACATGCTAAATTTCCTGTATAGAAAAAGGTAGTATTTTTTTACTGGAATTTTTTAGGCAGAACATGCACTGGACTTTGGGTGTAATAGTAAGTTGATTCGCTTCTACATGATGTTTGGAATCTATCTAAAGAATATTTTATTGAATAATTATTTCTAGCAAGAATGATTGGAGTCTTCAACAATGACTCCAGTTTACGAGAAGATAAAACTAAGATGAGGTAAGCTCGATCTTTAGGGAAAATTATTAGTTTTGACGCCATAGCATCAAGGTCCCAGGAAATAAATTATAAAAGCCTGCTTTCATGGAATTTTGCATTCACAACTCATTTGAAGACACTAGGACTCAATATTGTAAGAAAGGAACTGTGTTACTTCAATCCAATACACTGAGGTAAATGAAGAATGGATCCTATTGCAAACATATGATATTAGAAACATGAGTTTTACTATAGATTCTTGGATTATTTATAAATTTCACATTTGGAGATAATAGTACTATCCATAAAAGGAGGTTCTTGAATTCTTTGGTAAAAAGGTTATTTCTGGACCTAAATTTGGTGAATCGTATTCATTTATGCTATGTGTAATTGAGATTAAGAATTTGTTGATTCACTTCAGTTGAAATCAAAATCAAAAGGAAAATACCTAGGGTTAAGTATAACTGCACTGTTCAGATACCCCTACCCATACACCGGACAGATAGTTACACAAAATACAAAGCAGCTCACACAGTCCATGTATCCAGCACCAGAGAGCAGTTGCTCATCAGGTTAACCAGAGCAACAGATATCAGAGGTTCTGTTTATTCAATAAATTGTACCTTTAGAGGTGTATATCTCCTGAAGATATCCTTGGTGTTGTTCCCATACTAAAGCACAACGTAACTTCCATCGAAGTTTTGTGGTTCTCTTACTCCAGTATTGATCCAAAGTGACTAACAGTACTGAAAAGTAAACCATTTTGTACTATGGCAAGACCAATAATCATTTTCTCAAATAGTTCGGTGCTTTTAGAAAAATGAAAAAAATGTACTTCTATCATTAAATAAAAAAGAAAAAGCCATTGGATTGTTAACCTATTTGCAGATCAAATCTGAAGTACAAAAGGAATTATATATAAAGTAAATAACAGTGCAACCCCGTAAGAGAATCTACCTTTTTCCTTAGACGACTCTTTCGTGCAGCTTCACGATTTTGGGAAAGCCTACGAAGCGTCTGCACAAAAGAAGAGTTCGACTCGGTTATAAAACCTTTTTTTCCAATCATTATTCTAATCGAATTCTGAATGTGCACAACGGAATAACCTTTTGGTCTCTGGTTTTGTCACTTGCATCGGAAGTGGCGCCCAATGTTAGAGAGTTTAGATACTGCACCAAGAATGATGAAGAACAATTTCATTAAAATTTGAAGTACAGATTAGCTTAAAAGTACAGCAAGATTCCGGAACGTTCTGGAGCCATTTAATTTTTGAAATAAAGTATGCTTTTTTTTCCAATATCTAATTGCGTACACCTCTTTTCTTCCTGAAACACATCGATAACATGCGCTAGTTTTGCAGATCAGGAAAAAGAAAAATTCCCTCCAAGTAACTTTAGAACATAGATAGAGCATAATGGATTTATATAGGTGATAACAACTACTTGGGGTTAAAGCTTAGTCATGTTAGAAAGCTTATATTAGGTCAGGTGCTTCCCTTCCACTGCACCACAAACTAACCTTAAGCACTGTCCTTGGTAATCAATGGAAGACAAATAAGCTTATAACTTCATTTTTAATTAACATATGGCACAGTAATGTCTGGCCTGGAACTATCTTATATAAGGTGAATCATTCAGATTTTTGTAGAAGTAGATAGAGGTAACAGAATTTACAGGGATAGAATCTCAATTATATAAACTAAGAAAAAAATCAAAAGAAGTTATATGTTATTGCCTAGAATTTTGTTCAACTCGCCAAGAATAAAAGCACAAGAACTACCTATTCACTTTATAAAAAAAAGAACATTGGCGTGCCAACTGGACTTTAACCAAACTTTGAATGAAGATAAACCAGAAATTATCAATCAAAATATTCAGATAAATGCTTATTTAAATCTAGAAAAGCTATAGCTGAAATTTGAAAACATTAAATAAGATAAGAAAGCAATAACAGATATACCCTCAAGTTTTTATCATCTGTATCAACATCTGTTGACGTATCAGTCATAGCACTGACGTCTGCCATCGTGTAGTACCACCAATTTCACGTACAACCACTTCAGATTGGGAACTCGTTTATTTCTGTAAAAGAACTGATTAACATGATGTCCAATAAGGATAGACTTGATGAAATTAAGTTGACAACTGCAGAAAGATACTGTACAACTGTATCAACATGTGAAAGAAACTTCACCTACTGAGCTTTGCAAAGTATACCAGACGTGAGTCCAGACAAAGCAAATTAAAGATGAGTACTGAAAAATAGCACTTCATGAACACTAGATTTTGTATACTATAATGGAAGCTAATGTGCCAAACATTTAGCTATAGCAAAGAGAAATCACATCTATCTCATATTTAGTACTAGGCTTCAGCCCCACTATCATTGGCCATCAGATCTCATGCATCACAAATTAACCTACAAGAAAATCTAATCATTCTTCTAAGAAGCTCAAGGAAACACTCATTTAAGAAACACCTGAGAGAGCCAACTGCCTTAGAATTATCGCAAGCTGAACAAGGAGACAAAAACATAGCCACTTCTACCGGTATCAGATGACCACTGGGCTAGGCTTATACGACAAGGAGACAAAAACATAGCATAGATTCAACATTTTTGAGAACCCTTTAGCATATAGTGCTCTACTCTCTGATTGGGTGATGCCTCTAATCAGATATCTCCTATTGTTTTGAGTCTCTAATGTGAAATTAATAGTGCTACATGCATATGCTGAAGTTCTTCGTAATCATCATTTTCTCATTAATTTTTCATTGCCTTCTCCATTTTAAAATTAATGCCCTACCAATAATATTGAACTTCGGGATAATCTAGATAGGTCTCGTCAATCTAGATTATCCATAAAATAATCAAGGCTAAAGAATCAACCCATAAACACACTAAATTCAAGCTGAGCTTCAGAGCTATATGATCACAAATCATTTGCCTCTTAACAACCACAACATACCATTCTAGTCCCACAATGGGGTCTGGGGAGGGTACACAGTGTACCCACACCTTACCCCTACCTTAACTAAGGTAGATAGACAATTTTCGATAGACAACAGCAGCAACAAGCAGGAAGAACAACATGAAAATACAACAATCCAGGCTAAAGAATCACCCAATAGACAAACTTTAATCAAGGTAAGCCTCAGAGCTATATGATCAAGAATCATTTGCATCTCAACAACCACAACATACCATTGTAATCCCACAAGTAGGGTCTGGGGAGGGTACACAGTATACGCACACCTTACCCTACCTTAACTAAGGTAGATAGACAATTTTCGATAGACCCTCCCCTCAAAACAGATAAAAGAAAAGACAACAGCAGCAACAAGCAGGAAGAACAACATGAAAATACAACAATCCAGGCTAAAGAATCACCCAATAGACAAACTTAAAATCAAGCTAAGCCTCAGAGCCATATGATCAAGAATCATTTGCATCACATAGATAATAAAACCCAATTCATCAAATCCTCAAAAAGATCAAATCTTTGCACCTTCAGCCCCAAAACACAGACACCCTCATCTAAAAATAGTACATAAAAAGCATCTAAATACATGATAACTGAAGATAAAGAGGGGAAAGTAACTTACCGTTCAAAAACAAGAAGGGTCTGTTGGACAAAAAAAACTGAGACTTCAACAGATAAACCAAAATCAGATACTAAAAACTCAATCTTTTTCTTGTTTTCTTGCACCCCTATTCTTCTTCTTCTTCAAAGTTTAGTAAATCAGTGAAATCAACAAAAGTTTTTTTCAGCAAAAAAACAAAACTGTAGTCTTTTGAGTCTCTTTTCATTCTCTTTCTTTTGTGTGTTGGGGGTGGGGGTGGGGTGTTATTTTATACACATAGACTATACTTTATTTCACTATGAATTATATTAATTTTCTATGAAAATATTAATATTTTAGCCAAATTGAGTGGATATGTCCGTCTCTAATATTTTATCACAAGCATTATTTTATTTGTCATATTGCGTTTTTCGAAAGCTAATTTGATTAATATTTGAAATTGAGTTAGATTATATTATGGATATTTTTTAAGAAAAAATTAGATATTCTAAAACTATAAGAAAAAAATACTATAAATTGCAATTTTCTACATATCAATATGGTAACAATATACGTCGTAAAATATTGATCAAAGTTCTTATAGTTTAACTTAAAAAGAAAATCATGACGATTAATTGTAAACGGAGGGAGTATCGTTCAATAGTTTGATTTAAATTTGTTCTTACTTGACAGCAGGCTAATTAGACAATTAATAAGCGATAAACAATATATTTATTCTCGAATTATTATAAATGATATACATATACATAATGTTATACTTGGGGCTGAATATATCCTTATCGATATATTCTTAGATCATATATATCCTTAAGCCAAATGGAACGACACGTGATACTATGTAAATAAATTTTTCTAAATATTAATACAAATAGCTTATACTAACGAAATAAATCTGGTAAGTTTTTAAACAGTTTAAAGGATTAAATCAATAAAAGTATAGTTAAGAGACTAATTTAGACATACTTCTACAATTAAGGGACTATTTATGACATTTTCTTAATTTTTGGGTAAAAATTAATACACGCATATTATTTATAATAGTTTAGAAATATATATTTTTTTCGATTAATAAGTGTAAAGAGGCTAAATATTCCCTTAAAGTACGAAGACTAACTCCATTTTTGCACCCTCTATTTTCTTTTATAGATGTAAATTAGGTGATAAAAAAATATATTTTACGATATAAAATTCTCATTAATTCGTTATGAAAATTTTTTTTTATAGATATTAGACCAAAAAAAAATGGGAAATTAACATAATTTTTAAAACTTAATACTCCTCCCCAAATTACTTTGTGTACGTTTATTAAACTTTACTTACTATAAAAAAATAAACTTATAAAATTATTATTTACTAAAAATAGTAATTTCGAAAAGCACTCTAAACCCTCCATATTTATCACAAACATTTCTTTTTTCATCTCTTTATAAAAACAAATTAGGAACACTAAGAAATTTATTTAATTTTTTTTATAAAAAAAACAAAAGAAAGAAAACCAAGAAAATTGAAAAGAAAAAAACATTATTTTTTATTCCTACAATTTCTCACAATCAATCTTAAGTAAAATTCATAATGAATATTTTCTCTTTAAACAATAATTATTTCTTTTATTGACCCCCCAATTTTTTACTCATTTGATTCTAATACATTTTTTTGTTTTTCTAATTAATTTTCTTTTTCTATATTTGAGATTGAGGCGTAATAATTGTTATCGTTATGGTATTGTTGAATCTCCTCTCAATTATTGTGTAATTTTTTCACCTTCATTTCTATGCATTTAGGTTTGTTGTAATCTTATTCTCTCTGTTTGAGATTGAAGCGTAATAATTATTGACATTACGTCGTTGTCAAATCGATCTCTCCCCGTTATTGTGTAGTTTCTTCACCTTCATTTATTTGCATTTAGGTTTGTTTTTAATTTCTTTCTGAGATTGAGGGCGTAATAATTATTTTCGTTACGTCGTTGTTGAAATCTCTTTCCATTATTGTGTAATTTCCTCACCTTCATTTCTTTGCATTTAGGTTTGTTTTAATCTCCTTCTTTCCTTTTTAAGATTGAGGCGTAATAATTGTTGTCATTACGTCTTCGTTGTTGAACTCTTTTTGAGATTAAAGACGTAATAACAATTATCATTGCATCGTTGCTGAATCTCTCCATAATTTCCTCACTTTTCATTTAAATCTATTCAAATCTCCTTCATTCTATTTCAGATCGAGACGTAATAATTGTCATCTTTACGTAATCTCTCTCTAATTACTTTCCTTTCTTTTTTTTTCTATCCCCAAATAAAAAATGGGGAATTGTTGCTCTAGTGGAGAAGAACAACAACCAAATGAAACAACCAACAACAACAACAACAACGAAATCAACAACCCTAAAAATGTAGAAAACAATTCATCTACACAACATAACAATCTTGATCAAAGTTCAACAACACCAACACCAACAAAAACATCTCCAAGTCCATCATCAAAACCCTCAAAACAATCACCAATAGGACTAGTATTAGGTAGACCAATGGAAGATGTTAGATCAACATATACTATAGGTAAAGAGCTAGGTAGAGGACAATTTGGTGTAACACATTTATGTACACAAAAACAAACAAATGAACAATATGCATGCAAAACAATAGCAAAGAGAAAACTAGTTAGCAAAGAAGATATTGAAGATGTTAGAAGAGAAGTACAAATAATGCATCATTTAACAGGTCAAGAAAACATTGTACAACTTAAAGGGGCTTATGAAGACAAACATAGTGTACATTTGGTCATGGAATTATGTGCTGGTGGTGAACTTTTCGATAGAATTATCGCGAAAGGACATTATACAGAACGCGCTGCAGCTTCGTTGTTAAGAACAATTGTTCAAATTGTTGATACTTGTCATTCTATGGGAGTTATACACAGAGATCTTAAGCCTGAAAATTTTTTACTACTTAGTAAAGATGAGAATGCACCTCTTAAGGCTACCGATTTCGGTCTTTCCGTCTTTTATAAGCAAGGTATGTATATATCGATCATTTTTATCTGTCGTTTTATAGTCTAAATTATGATTGGTTGGACGTTAGGTGCGATGATTTCAATGAAAAATGTATTTAGAAAGTCATTCTAGAAAGTTCAAGAAAAAAAATTAGGGTTTTTCGGTTTGTTACAATTCTACCCTATTTAGCATTTACTCCAACAAGGCATAATATAAAATGTGTTTTATAAGGAGGAAAATATTTTTCAATTTTCTCATGTTCAGTTTCTTAAGAATAACGAGAAAATAACTCTATCAATATAAGTATGGAAAACAAGTTTCATAAATAACATTTCATATTGATTGTGTTTTTCCCACCCTTCGGCACAATTCATGTTCACCCCTCACCCGCGTACCCTCACTACCTCATGTACACTTCTATCTTCGTCTCACCTTTTTATAGTATTTGTCTATATCACATACAAATACGTTTAGGATGACATGTTTTGCTTACGTACCATGGTACCGGACATAAGAAAACAATTTCTGTAGAAAAAAATGACTATCCCAGTGGAAGTATGGAAAATAAGTTTTACATAAATAACATTTCGTATTGATTGTGTTCTCCCCATCCTCTAATACATCTTATGCACATCCCCGTTCCCGTATCCCCACCACCTCACCTACACCTCTATCTCCATCTCACCTTTTATAGTATTTGTCTAGATTATACACAAATACGAATAACAATTTTTTGCTTATATGCCAGACATAAGAAAATAAGTAAGAAACCTATTTATTTTCCTTAAAAAACATATAATTACAGCATGAAGGAAGATTTATAAAGGATAATTATTATTTTTTTGTGCAGGAGATGTGTTTAAGGATATTGTAGGTAGTGCATATTATATTGCACCTGAAGTATTGAAAAGAAGATATGGACCAGAAGTTGATATATGGAGTATTGGTGTTATGTTATATATTCTTCTTTGTGGAGTTCCTCCTTTTTGGGCAGGTAAAAAATTTACACCACTACATATATAATTATTGAGAAAAATCTGACCCTCTTCGAACACCGCGTTATAATATTCTGATAAAATATTATTGGATCAAATGTCACGTGTATTATTGAGAATTATCTCTAACGGAAATGAAATTCGGATTGATATAACATGGGAAAGAATTTTTCATTCATTAGTTAGGAAGATACGTCACCGTGAATAAAGTAGAGTCGTGGAAACACTTATTTCGTTTTTATTTTAGGCCTTATTTCAGGGGACATGACTTAGTGCACCGAACTACCTTTTAGTAATATGATTGAGTTACGTAAACTTCTGGATAGATATTGTACATTTGAACCGAATTCTTTCTGGTTAAGCAAATCTCTTTCTAGTTGCTCTGGAACAATTAGGAAATTGATTTCTAAAAGAAATACACGGTTTCCCAACTCACAACCAGTGGCGTAGCCAGAAAGTTTATCAAGGGTGTCCAAGAATAATAGTGTATGACTGTCAAAATAAAATAAAAAAAAATATTATGTTTTTTGAGGTTCAAATCTGGAACTTCTTGATTCAAATGGTCACCCATTACTACTGTGTCAGGGTGTAGCTTTTGTCAAGCGTGTCCAACTCTCGCTATATATATAACGTAATTTTCCGACGAATAGTGCCCAGTTAAATACTCTGGGGTGGTTATAGCTTTGCCCCTACTTACAAGGGACCTCAAGTAAAAGACCTTAGTATTTCCATTACCGAAAGTCTTGTCACTGAAAGAAAAATGCACAATTAATAGTGAGTATTAGAATCAATCTATCGTGAAAAATTATAGTTCTCGTATATAATGAAAAAATAACAATAGCTAGGTTAAATTCATTATATACTTTTTAATTATTTTTATTTATTTATTTTACAGAAAATGAAAATGGAATTTTCAATGCAATATTACGTGGACATATTGATTTTTCTAGTGATCCATGGCCTTCAATTTCAAGTGGAGCAAAAGACCTAGTCAGAAAGATGTTAACTGTTGACCCTAGGCAGAGGTTAACAGCTATGCAAGTCCTAAGTAAGTTATTTTTACTTATTATTTTGATATATATATATATATATATAAACTTTTGTATATTTAACTACAAAGATACATAATTTTTGTTCATATATCAACCAAGAGAGATAAATATTTTTTTTATTCTTAATTAGAGACTACAGCTTCGAACCCTTAAAATGAAGTCATCTTTGGTAGAATTGATCACGCTACTTATTACTTCTAGGGATATATATAACTTTTG